CGCAGAATGTTAGGCCATTTATAAGCAATAGTTCCAAAACGATACTGCTGACTAAGCCATCAGCGCATTTACGTGCCGACTTCATCGGCGTCATTGCGACTAGGCTAAAATGAGGGCCAGCGGAAAATGTGAGGCCCCGAGATCGAGCGTTCCCTAAACTGCTGAAGTGTATTATACAAAAAAGGCTGCAAATACGCGACATTTATCTTGCAAATTATTAATTTCATGTCATGCAGCTACGACAGTGTTACTGCTCGTTCTCCAGGATCGGTTCGGGTCATCTTGTTATGAGTCTTGTGTGTCCACAGCCATCAGCTGAGCACGTCACTTGGAATAAGTTTTTCTTCCTGTCGTGATAAGCGTGATCGTTCTTAGCCTGCCTAACAGTAGGTCAGGTAAAAAAATCGTTAAGATGGCTCCATGTCTTCCCTCTCGAGCGGCAATTGACTGCAGAGGGTGCTGCCATTTTGAGGTTATGTACACAAATGATGGTCGGGAAAATTAAGTTTGAGGTCTGTCTCAAACTGTCCACCTACTACAGCAGACAACGTGGACGGAGGCTCATCTTGCACCGCCCCAGTCCCTGCCTCCGTCAGCCCCGCGCAGGAATTGGCTGGAAGCCGGTTTAAGCAGCGAATAATCCGCTTAAGTCACTGCAATAATTTAAAATTGAGAAGGTCGACCACGTCCCGACCACGTCTACACGTTTTTCTCTTGCATGTGGTGCAAGGCCAAAGTAGCCTTTCCTCTAAAATCACAATCCAGAATATCACCGAAAAAGTCCGCCACGGCATGCGCCTGTGTCTGTTGTCATTACCGCGTTGCGACCGCACAGCTTCTTGTGAAACCTGAGCATGCCAGACGGATGTAGGAACCGGTCCATGATGACGGAATCCGGCCGTTCCCGAACGGCACCCGCTGACGTGATCTATGCACCCACGCACTGCGCCGCTTGGATGATGCCGACGACATATTCCAGTTATTCAGGAGCTTAAAACAGACATCTTGCCAAAGATCCGCCACCTGTCACGCGATAACCAGTTCGAAGCCGCGTATGCGGCCACACAGTGCGTGTCAGAGGCAGTGTGTATTTGTTCCAGATATAAACGTTCCAAATTACCCTGAGTAGCGCAATGATCGAGTCTGATCGATTCGCGAGTTAAACAACGCAGAAATACACGCAGCTGGTGAGTTGGTTCGAGACTGTAAAAACAGTCTTCACGCGCCGGGCCCACGAATCGATCGACGGGAGGATTGCGCGGGTGAGTTCAGACACGGCCCACCAAAGCCAACCCCACACATCCCGCGGTGACGGCCACAGCAGGCGCCGCACAGCCGTCTTCCCGAAGAAGAGCAGCGTCTTGCGGCCCCGCCGTTCTGAGACCCGTTTCCAAACACGAGGCGTTGGACTTGAATATCGTACAATTAATCGTGAGCGCGGCATCACCGTAAAAACTGCTTCAAGCCACAACAAAAAGCGTCCGATTACATACCATAAAATTGCTGACACATGCGACCGTCTTCAGACTTGGTCGCAGCAAATACACCAATGAATTTGTCCGATATGCTACACCCAATTTCCTTTTGGGGGTGGAAGAATTCCCTACACCAGTGCAGCATGGGCTAGGCGCAGTCTGTTACCAATAGAGGAAAACGACCGATTCGTGGGAAGACGCCACAGGAGCACACATCAATATACCACCAATGCAGTTGACTCTAGCCTACCTCTGTAACCAATGTTAGCTATGTAGCTCAACAGATCCTTCACTCTGCTGATGGGGACAATGTCAGCACGCGTGCGGTTAACTCATGCCTCTTGCTCAAATCTGTGCCGATCCCTCAACCTTCACTTTCTATCCTGGAAACAAAACTTGCCCCAGATGTCACGCTCCTTACTGATGACACCTAGCTGCACCACACCGTTGTCGAAGCAACTGCAAGGTATAGTGTAGGCTGGTTTCGTCGCACAGGAAGTTTGGTCCAAGAAATACTGCGTCAAAAGGCAATCCACGCATCGAAATATACAGCCCTGAGCCCACAAATGCTGCTGGTTCAGGACGAAACTACCAATTGAGTACGAATCCGATCTCAGGCACTGCATTCCCCACAACGGAAAACAAACGTCAGCACCAGGCGGTCATTTCATGTTATTACGTGCGACGTCAAAAACATTCAGCACTCACAACTGGCAAGCTGAGGCAACTTATCCCCAATGTTCAAACCACCTGGGTGACCATGTCAGTGCCCGCCGCGAAGAGCTTTGCTCGGCAGGGACTCAGATCACCCCGCCAATCGAACAAGCAGTTCACGACCCACGTGACCACATTTCCTGTGACCACAGATTTCGAACACGTCCATCAAACAGGCCGCTGCAGCGTGAAAACGCGTGCTGCGGTATCGGAGCAGGCAAGAGCCGGACCTTCGTCGAGGCGTCCCGCAGCTGTACCTGGCGTTAGGCGTCATCTAGCACTTCTCTGACAGTGTGCACAAGGAGGCGCTACCTTTGGTGCACAGGACACTTGTCTGCCTGCCTCTGAGGCCACATGGAACAAAATAAGGCAGTACATTTGGGGACCACCTGAAAGCAAAGATAAAAATATCAGCAAACAGGCATGAAAGTAGGCAACATATGTGTTGCAGGATATTTTCTCACTACTGTGCTGCAGACTTTCCTGCTGCACAAACTGTGTGGCTGCATTGCAGAGGATGTAAGCCACACAAAGGGCATGGGTCAGCTTCAGTCCTCTTAAAATGAAGTGATGGACTGGAGAAACTATTGCAGACCTTATGGGCAACACCCAGGGGCATTGGTAGATGGTCACCAAGTCTTAGCTCTCTCAAGAGCTCCATGTAACACTTTGAGACTGAATGGTTAAAGCCTGGAGCACTTTTCTGGGGTAGCAAACTGCTCATATATTTTCATTGGATCAATTCAAAAACATGGATGACTGGTGGTCAAATTATGTCTACCTGGTCATGACATATTTCAAGTGTTTAAATTTGTTGCAGGCCCATGCAATGGGGCACAAAAAAGGGAAAACAAGAAATCCAGGATGTGTAAAAGGCACTAACAATACTTTTGAAAAATATAGAAAATTGGGTATAGTAAAGCTCATGACACATGATGAGCTCTGGTTACACTTCACCAGCCTGGTTTAGCAAATGCTCCGATCTGATAACCAGCTGTGATTTTTCCCAAGGTGCTGTGTTTGCAGTCACCTGTAAATACATTGCAGAAAAGCACCCAGCTTAGCATTGGCTAGCATGTGTAAACTGCCAAATCTTGGTGGCTGTCTTCATTCTAGTTTGCAAATGTATGCAAAAAATTATTTAGTGATGTTATGCATTTGACAGCAAAGCTACAAAGTTACCTCTTTCCTGGTTGTGGTATATACAGCAGATACCCACTGAGAGGAATGCTTTCTACTTGCTTCCCTCCAGCAAAGTTTTTGCTTTGGAAGGAGTCAGATTGCAGGCATGTATGCACAAGTGGCTGATTCATAATGGGAGGGTCTTACATAGCTTGCTGAGTGCATTTGCAAGGAGCATTATGCATATAGGTAAGCCAGTATGAAGACTTATTTCTTGAAGAGTAACCAGGAGAATACAAATATATATGAGTAATATTCTGGCAAAATGGTTTCATCAAAACAAATATTATGAACTCATCTAAGTGCACTTACTAAGAGTACTATCATTCAACCAAAGTGTACCATGCAATGGATGGATTTTTGCAGACTGGCAGATGACCTATGCAAGGACCATGTTAGTAGAGCAGCTAACTAGCTTGTGACCAATTTTAGTAGGAATGCCTTGTATTTTAGCCTCACTTACAACTAATTTACTTGACCAGCTCCCACCAAGAAGATATGAGCAGCTAGTACATGATTGTAATGGTTCTGGTTAGGCATTCTGCCAAACAGTACCTGAAGCATTTGTGTAATAGTTATAGTTTGCCTTCAAACAGACCCTTAGGTCATGTGACCCACCCAAAGGATAAAAACTCAGTCTGTTCCATTGGACCAGTCATCTGTGCACAGGCCAGAGATATCACGGCAGGCATGCACACCACCTATTTAATGAAAGATCTTTGCCATCAACAATCTGAAATATGCTACAAAAGTTCTGCAAAGTGACAAGCCTCTGTGATATCTGCTGTATGTACATGCATACATTACCAACAATTCCAAAGCCTCTGTAGTGGGGCAAACAACCATGTAATTAGATAATTGGCATACAAGTTTGTAGAACCGTGCCCATCCCTGCTCAGTCTCAACATATTCATGCGTCAAATAAATGAAATATTACTCTACTTCACATCTTCCACATGCATTTGGATGTTACAAGAATTTCAGACGTGAGACGTAGGTTAAGTACACCGAAAACTTACTGTCTTTCTCATGATTGTAGCCGACGACGACAAAGTAGTCTGCCAGCCTTGACATGATACAACACTATTCGCATATCACAAATCACAAGCTGTTTTCATGGCGGCTCTCATACGCACGCACGCTATCCACAGATTCCACTTTATCGCCGCCCACACACCCTCGACAATCCCGAGACCGTCACCACCTCCCTCCAACACAGCTCACAGACTCCAAGCCGATGCTCTTTTAGTGAGGATTCGTGGCGGTGGTTGGCGATAATTGTCTGAATCGCGTCGCTTTAGGATATAAACAGCCCCACCCATCGCTGCCAAGCAACGGATCTGATTGGTTAAATTCGAGGCTAAAGTAGTTTAAGGAATGCACAATCGAGACCTAAGCCGCCCACACGTGTAACTGTATTTTCTTCTTTTGCACTGATATTCGACTAGTATTTCATGAAAGTGCTTCATGGGTATGAGCATGATCCAAACAGTGCAAATATGTACGAGCATGTACAAAATCGTCAGCACTCAACGCCATCCGGTAGAAGATGGTAGATTTGTCACATGAATGTCGGCAACACACATTTCAGAATCCTTGTTCTGGCCAACCTTGAGGCGCCCCTCGTCGTGTTTTGTTGTGCAGTTGCCTTGGTTGCTGGTGTGATGTTTGTTGTTAGGTGGTGTGGTGAGATTCATTCGTGACGTGCAGTCATTCGCGGGTAAGAAACGGACCTGACGCAGGCGCTGGACAGCTGCAGTTCGGTAACCTCGCGAAGACCCAGCTTTTGGTCTTCGGAATTAAGGGTCCCAAAGCCAGCCTTCATGTTGTATGATTTGTCCACTCACTTTGGGTCTCTTCCTTGACTTGGATTATCTTTTTAAGACTATGCCAGGCCTCATGGCCATTCCGCTGGCCTTATTACCTAGTTTAAAACGATTATAACTGTTGTGTTAACAGGGCCAACATACCAATCTGTCAACCAGAGCAATTGCTCATCCCAGGCATCTCATGGCCTTTAAGGGGTGTGAGGTGTATGCGACAGCCTCATTCTGGTCCAAAGAGGTGCTGTTCTGCTTCATTAGGGGGCAGAGACCAATGCATTTGGGGTAGCACCTGTCAAATAACTAGCACCCAACATGTGAACTCTTCTTATCTATGTCAATGGTAACACTACATGCCTGTGACAAGAAATTATGTCCCTAAAGTTTCTAGCTGCCCCAAATTTCTTTGATTTTTCCTAGGCCCTTCCTCTCACAAAGTTTTGGTGAGATCTCCTATGGTTTGCCAACTGGCTAATCTGTGACCAAAGAACAATGTTAGACTTTTTTAGACATTAGACATCTAAGCCGGCTCACATATTGATCAAGGCAGTTATCAATAAATGTGTTTCTTTCAGGGCATTAGCACAGCTGATTCAAGCACTGACCTACACTATGGGTGGGCAGGTGTCTGTTCTGATGAGAATGCATGCCCAAAATATGGAACATCAGGCACATAGCATGACTACCTCACCAGGTAAGGTATGAGAGACTGCAGTCCAGTATTGGAAAAATGTAAATGTTTACTATATGCTGCATATGATATTTTACACAGATCAATGTAGTTTACACACAGATCATATTCACATGCAGAGAATAACATGAATTTGTCTGGCAAAGGTGTCAGTGTGCATGCTACATTAGGAGACATTTGAAGACTTCTACCCATATTTTCTGTTTGTTTTCTTCTCACTGCCCCACTTCTCAAACAGTTAAGGTCATTACATGTAAGTTATGCTGAGATTATTTATGTTATGCCATGATGACCAGTGTTATGTCCGGCCCACCAATATTTAGGTCTGCTTAAATAATTCCATGAATGACTGGCAGGGATCAATTTTTGATTGGATATTTTTGCTAAGCTACTCCTAATCAATCTTTGTCAGACAGCTGCTGCATGCAGTTGCAATAACCAAGCCTTGAGTGGTGCTGGGCCTAGCTGGTGCTGCAGGGCAAGTGGTGCACATGGAGCTGGGTATCTGGCTGTCACCTTACTACAAAATAATCTAGTTCAGCTCCAAGTGCTCAGAAATGCACATGAACTTCTGCCATTTGTTACATGTGCTACTAGTCTCACAGTTTTGGTCTGTTGTGCTTGCATTTTTGTCCTTCCACTTGTAATGACCATTTCAGGGCTTTGGGATGGGGGAAGGGTGGTGGATAATGGTACACCAAACCATGTGCACCAGACCTTACCTGACCTGGGGGTCATCCACCAAGCCTTAGTCTGCACAGGGACCCTTATGCAGGATATGTGCTTGGTGCTTCGACAGGGTTCCTGCCATGAACACTCAAGCCCACTCATGGTTGATGTGTGTAGCTTAGACTGCCTGCCTGCCTGCTTAGCCTGGTTAGACTGGGTTTTGGATTAAATTAAATGTGGGATAAAGCAAAAGTGAGGCAAGAGGGGTCGATGCACACAATGCTGTGTTGGACTGAGCTGTTAGTCATGTCATGCCATTAGATGTGTCAGTTTCTCATGTGAACTTCATATAATCTGCTCAGTTGTATATCAGTCTGACTTGCAGTTGCTTTATCAAAGGGACTTGCACTATTCCATGCCCATGGCAGCTTATAGCTCAATATGTTCAGCACTCAGAAATGTCAAAATTTGCTGCAAAACTCATTTTGGGCCCCAAAAGGTTTGGCCATGCATCATACCTACATCAGAGGCTTGGATGGCTATTTGCTGCAAACCCAGGCAGGTATCACACCCCCTCACTCACGATAACACCCTCCGTTCAGCGAGCCAGACTCACTTGCTCATGTGCTCTGCACTTTTTGGATGGAGTGCTCGGTTGACCCACGAGAGAGGCAGCGATCTGTTTATATCTTGTTCTCGTACTGAAAAAAAAACGACGGAAAACGACGCGTTTCTATCGGCGCACCAAGACGTATAACGAACCCCCGGACGATCTTCGACTGCTCCCGACCGTTCCTAGGGTGGTAGAAAAGACATCTCGTGGGACATCTGAGGATTGCACTGACCTGCTTGTGTGGCGGAGTCGAGACTGGTGTGTCCTGTGCGTTGCGCTTCACTGTGTTTGTCTTTTAATGACTGCCAATCACTTCCAACACACGTCCGATTCTTGGGATCGAGGGTGACGGCGTGATGAGACGTGGTTGCCGGAATGCTTGTCGAGCGATCGGTTCAAGCAGGTTGTTTTATTCTTCACTGAAGCCAACACAGTTTACACCCCATTAAGAAACGTCTGTGCCATTGCGTTAAAGTCAGAGTGCGCAAATCAACGTGGGCCGAAGCCATGAAATATAGTGGATATGCCATTTCGGATGACGTTTTAACCAGAGCGTAATATGGATGGTATCCACCAACAACGTGGCGTTACGTTACCGCCTTGGGTATTGTAAATGAATGGAGGATGGCATCTTGTGAAAGTTTGGGGTCTAGCCCATCCAAACTTCTGCCAAGTCCAGATGGTACGTGGAGGTGGCCTATTGGAGGCTGGTAACGTTAACACGTACGCTTCGACGTCCTCTGGCGCTGCGTACACAGCGGAAGATGAAGTCACTGAAGGGAGACTTGCGGAGGCCGAGAAGAACAAGTTCCCCGACCTGAGCGAGCTGCCGGCCGAGCTCGGCCTGGAGGTCCTCAAACACCTGAACGCCACGGACCTGTGTCTGGCCGCCTGCGTCTGGCAGAACCTGGCCGAGGATGAGATCCTCTGGCAGGGGTGAGTCGTGCGTGTCGGGCGGAGTCGGATGATCGCGTCTGGTGACCCCCACTTCTGACACGGCGCGGCGCGTCTGGCCATCGCTCATCCAGCCGGCCGGCCGACGGTTCGGCGTACGCTCAGTAACCTGTTCCGTGCCCTCTGACACCTGATCTGGCCGGTTGTGGTGTTCCAGAGCGCCCCGCTGTCCCTGTCCCCGTGCCCTCTGGCACCTGATCTGACCGGCTGTGTGTTCTGAGCTCCCCGCTGTCCCTGTCTCCCGTGCCCTCTGCACCTGATCTGACTGGCTGTGTGTCCTGAGAGCTCCCCGCTGTCCCTGTCCCGTGCCCTCGGACACCTGATCTGACCGGCTGTGTGTTCTGAAGCGCCCCGCTGTCCCTGTCCCGTGCCGTTCTGACAACCTGATCTGACCGACTGTGTCCTGAGCGCCCCCGCTGTCCCTGTCCTCTGCGGCTGACGCCCTGACCTGACCGGCTGTGTGTCCCTCTGACCCATCCGTGTCCCTGTCCCGTGCCCTCTGACCCTGGACCGGACGGCGCGCCGTGCGGTCAGGCTGTGCAAGGACCAGTGGGGCTACGCCAGCGTATACCGGCGACTGCGCGCGCCGGCGGCGGCCCATCCTTACCGCCACACGTTCTCCAGCTGGACGAAGGCACGCTCACCTTCAACGCCGACGCCTTCTCAGTGAGCGCTCATCGGTAGCCAACCTCTGGTGGATCCTCAGGAGACAGTGGACTGGGCTCGGATTTACGCCGTGGCAGCCGAGTGGCTGACCGGTTGAAAATGTCTGCTTTAGTCTCTATCATTCATCCTCAAACGAGTGAGTGAGTGAAGATAAAGGCTATCGCGCAGTCCACTAATGTGTCATATGCGATGCCTCGAGCTTTTAATGAGGCACCCCACCTCAAGGTGTTCTTCAGATGTCGGATGTGTGCGGTACCCGGGAGCGGACAGCCGGCCTCGGAGGCTAGCCATGGGTGACCCCGGCCCTCTGTCGGCCAGGGTATGCACTACTTCACATCAATCAGCCGCGGCCTGGTGGAACGACGACCCGGCAGAGATCGCCATGTTCCTGCACACCAGCAGCAAGATGGGACTCCAGCCAGCTACGGCGTTACTTGGACCAGCGGTGAGATCTCTGGCGCCGGGACGAACGGTAGTAGTGGTCGATGCATGGCGTGAAGGGAGTGGCGAGTGCGGGAGGGGCGAGGAGGATTGAGAACTACTGGGCGAGGGGAGTAAAACAGTGTAGTGCGAGCCTGAACAGGGCGGGGCTACGCATTAAAGGGCGGGCGGGGAAGGTGCAAGGCGTCGACAATTTTAGCCCAGTGACGAGACAAGAAGCATCGCATTTGGTCTGTATTGAGCCCTGACAACCTCGGGTGCCGGTGGTGAGCGCCAGTCCCCAGCTGTGTGACCATGTCCCGCGAGTGAGGTCCAGCGACGCCGGCCCCGGCTCGGCCCGGCGTGAACTCCACCGCTGACGTCGCACGCCCTCCGGCAGGCGGGACGTGATGACGCTCATCATGGACCTGCAGAACTACAGCGACCAGTTCCTGCCGGCCGCGCTGCGCAAGCTGTTCAGCAAGGTGCAGCCGCCGGAGGACCGGGGCAACTACCTGCAGACCCTGCTGGACAAGTTCTCCATCAAGTTCTGCCAGGGCAATCCCCGGCTGGGACTGTCCACGGGTGAGTCGGCGGTGCCAGCGGGGCATTTGGTGAGAGGCCCGGCCGTCTTACGGTCCGTCCTCGAGCTGACGTCTGAAATCGGAGCATGCCTGCAGCCCTCAGCAGCAGTGGTGTGATCTATAGGGCTGGTAGCCCGGCGCCCTGATAGCATTTGATCGTCACGCGAATGCAATTAGCTTGTTTTTCTATGCATAATTTCTTTAGATTTGTACTTGTTCTCACTCCGCTGTGGGTACGCTGTCCTGTGTCTATCGTGTGGCACGTGACGGGCTCCTTACGTCGCGTGTCCGGAGTTGTCTTTGAGCCGCGCGCCACGGTCTCGGCTGGTCGTGTGATTCGGTCGGTCGGTGTCGGTCGGCGGCCTCCTGACGCCGCGTCCGCCGCCAGACACGGTCTACATCCTCTGCTTCTCGCTCATCATGCTGTCCGTGGACCTGACGTCGCCGCACGTCAAGAACAAGATGTCGAAGCGCGAGTTCATCAGGAACGTGCGTCATGCGGCGGCGGTGGACGACGTGCTCAGCGGCCACCTGTACGACGACATCTACCTGCGCGGCCACATCGTCGGTCGACGACCGGCGCTCGGCTGTCGCTAGTGCCGGCCCTGCCGCCAGGGGCGCCGCTGTCGCCGCAGCTTCGCGCCGCGCCCGCCGGGAGCGCTGCAGTCGCCGCTGGTTCTCCGCGCGGCCTCCGACGACGCGGCCAGCTGCAGGAGACCGGCAGGCAGCTAGAACTATGGCAGGTTTTACAACGAATTACGTGTGTGTCAGGTGTTGGCGTGGAGTTTCCGCGCCGAGTAGGAGCAGCGTTGTTATCTTGTTTTAGGCAGTGCAGGGAGTGGCCTAGATCAGGGACGGATGCTGGGTCAGCTGGGCGAAGTGCTAGCGTTTGCAGCTGGAGAGCCTTGATTCGCTAACGCTACTTCGAGGCCTATAGGCTTTATCCGTGTGAGGTAGTTCATCAGACCGGAGCAGCGATCAGTGCTTAGTTGAAGTGTCAGCCAGGTGACGGAATGTTTTGGCACCGGCTGGACGGCCTGCGAGGTATCTATGCTCTGGTGCAGGCGGGACCACCAGGCAGCGGCCCGGGACGAAACTGACATCCACAGAGACGACGCGCCGTGGCCTCCATGCTTGCTTTTCACTGTCCGACCTGTGACTGGAGTACTTATTTTGTTTTGACACGACGAAACGACGTGACCTTGTCCCGCCACGTTGAAGACGGACTGGATCTATTTTTATGAGACCTGACAGGGTCCTGGCTGTCGTGCTTGAATGGCGGTCTGTATGGGTCAGCACCGTCCGCTAACCGAACCGAACCCGGCGCTTGGTTCAATACTGGGCGAGACCGGAAGGACCGTGCAAGCCACAGACGGCTAGGGCAGATGCCAGCCCGGTGGCTGCCCCCCCCCCCCCCCTCCCCTGCGAGGCACGTGGCGGGACTGTCCCGGACTGTCTTGGTCCGCGCCGGTCCGCGCGTCTCCAGACCGCGGTCCGGACGACACCGGGATCTGCCGGAGGCGGCGCCGGCCGCTGCGCGCGCTCGCAGGGCCGGCCCGGGCGGTCGTCGTCAGCGCTGCGCTGTGTCGCTTGGTGGCGTGCTCGGCCCGCGCCTTCACTAGTCATTTGTCGTTACGTGTCGCGTGCCGCTCCCGCTTCCCCTCCCCCTCCGCTGCGGGTGGCTTCCGCCCCGCGGCGCGCCGCTGTCCGCACCGCCCCCATCTACCGTGGACTCGCAGCGCTCGACGCTGTGCGGGCGCGTGTGTCTGGCTCGCGTAGCGTCGGAACCCCTCTCCGCGTCTGCTCCCGACGTCCCCCGACCGTTAACCGATCCTGGATGCTTTCGGGGGTCGTGGGAGGGCCGAGTGTCTGCCGCTGAGGGCGTCGGTTGGCTCGCGACTGCGGCAGCTGCACCTTAGCACTCTCTTCAGCTCTTCAGCACGGCACTAGCATTACTTGAGCCGCCGCGTCGTTAGGCGAGGCGTTGGTAGGCCGCGGTGGTGAGCGGTCCGACGTAAGATGCTAGGCTCGTGCAGCGCGGCGGCGGGCCTCGTTCAGTATCAGACCCGGTGGTGGTACACCTACCCGGCATACACACCCCGGCCAGAGGACCGCTTCCGCGTTGGACTGATGTGCCGTGTGTCCCACGCGACGTAAGTCCGCCGCCGGTCTGCTGTGAAGGTGCCATGTTATCCACTGCGCAGCGTGCGGTGTGAGTAGCGAGCGTAGTTCCGTGAGGACGGTTTGTGATCGGCTCGTGCCGGTTAGAGCGTGGCTGCTTGTGCGGGCTCGCGCTGCCCGCCTGGGGAGCACGTGCACCGGTGGGGCGGTGCGCTCCGTGTCTGTCGACAGCGGCCGGAGCCGAGGCGCGTCGCCAGCCGACCCGCACGTCTCCGCTGGCTGCGCTAGCCGTGGTCGGCGCCCGTCCGTGGCAGACTCCGCTCCCTCGCTGCCGGCGCCGTGAACGTGCAATTCAGGGACTGTGATGCGCCGCAACTGACGGCAGGTGAACATCTGCTGGAGCTAACCGGCATCACCGGTGCGAGCTGGCCGCCCGGTTGTGACGCGTTGGCTGCTGCCTGCGCGCGTTCGATGCTTAGGGATCTCTGAATGTCTGCCCGCTGGCGACCGAGGGCCGATTTTATCAGCAATGAGCGATGGAAGATGGCAGTGGACGGGATGGGAACCAAGGGCGTGTGCTCCTTCCCACTTACGTTGCGGAGGAGATCGCGGTGTTTTGGGCCGTTGTTTGTGTTTGTATTATTTTGTTAACGCTCTGATGCCACTGACCAGATCGATTTACTTGTATTTGACCCGTTTCTTTTGTTAATCCTTGAAGGCTTTACCTAGCCACTCTACTTAATATATTTCGTCATATTAGTTATCGCAATGTTGATGTGAACTGCTGACTGATCGTCTAAGTCACGTGACTCGCCGCGTGACCGGGACCGTTTCCCACTGACGTCAAAAGTGGGCAGAACCAACCAATCAGCAGCAACATTACAGGCTATTGTTGGCACCGTCGTAGAATGCTGAAAGAAGTTGGCGTGTAAAAGGTGCTCGGAAATCATCTTTTCAGGCAAAATTGCAAAAATGTATGTCATTTCAGCAAGTGCCAGCGTAGCGGCTACCGCGCCTGCCGTGCGCGTTCTCCACCGATGCGCACAAGGCCAAGACAAAAGGCTGCCAGGACCACGTGCGGTCATCCAGTGAACCACAAGCCCTGCCGTTGCGCGGTGCACGCCGTTACTTGCCAGCGGCCCCCTTGTGCCGCGGGGTTGTGTCCAGTCTCCTCTGTGCCCTTCAGGCCACGGGGCCGTTCACGGCTCCGCTCGGCGCAATCGGGGGGGGGGGGGGGGGGGGGGGGTAATCGTGCCAGCGGAAATCACGTCACGCCAGCACGCATGTATTGAGACTGGAGGGCAGCGCCGGAAGCCCGGGAAGCCGGACCGTCGCCGCCACGCCTCCGTCGACGGCCGGAGAGACGAGCAAACACAACCGCACTGTGACGCGTGCACAAGCAAGACGGCTCGCACGCTCGATGGCTCGAATTCGTAAGCCTGATCTATGGGGCATTTTGCACACACTCCAACAGACGAGCCATGTGTAAATGACTAGCAAGTAAAGCTCTTCCACCCACGCCCAAACATATCGCCGCAACGTTTGCGGTTTTCTCCGAGCACAACACTAACACGGCAAGATGCGGACGGTCATTTAGTGGACGGATACCAACTGAAGACGAAGCGTATCTTGCGGACCTGGACTGCCAGCTCTCACTGGCCGGGCGTGTAGTCCGTCATGATGGTGTACTGCATGCTGTACGCGTGCGGCTGCGGCGGGTAGTAGTCATCGGCGTACACCTGAAATGGCAACACAAGCATGGCCACCGACGTGACGGGTGGTGATAGCGTGCCCGCTTGTGGTGCCTCGCGCTAACAGCGCCGATCAGGGCCGCAGCCGGGGTTTTCTGAGCGCGGGGCTGGAGCTCAGCAAGCATTTGTAAGAGAGCCGAAGGGGCGGTCTATGACGCTGCAAGAAAATGGGCCAAGAAGGGCGGGCGGGGGAGCAGGGTCCTCACCTCTGACTGCATCCCTGTGGTGGATATCATGTCCATGTGCATATCATATACATGTTCGACTAAAACGTGAAAATGCAGCATCTCCGATAACCAACACGTTTTATACGCGTTGTACACGATGGACTTGATCAGCATCGCGATGGCCCGTCTGATGCTGCTGAATTTTACATCTAGCTGAATTTAGTCTACGGGTCGCAGGGGCGATGCCCCGTCAATTTAAAATCAGCGCAAGTCCTCGGCAGTGCAAGGGTTAAAAGCACCAGCCTTGCGAAACAGCACGCAGCGTACATGTACCGCACCTGAGGCGGTGCGCACCAGGAGTTCTCCTTGTCGCCGCTGGAGTCCAGCGTCGCACCGTTCACGTGACCTCGACTGACGTCATCGGCTGCTAACAGCTGCCGCAGATGGTCGATGTACTCAATCGCCTTATGCAACGTCTTCACTTTGCTGATTCGCTTTCCTCTGGAACATACAGGCACATGTAGTGAAACGCGCAGAAGATTTTGAAGGGAGAATCTCCCCTTCCTTGTACTTGTCACTTATTGTTGCATCAGACGCATACGAGTTAATCAGCAATACCAGTTTTCTTGAAATCCGCCCGCATATTCCTGAATTGCAATCTGAAGTAGCCGACCCCGCAGGACAACCATCACTTGACTCCCTGCTCACCACCATGAAAAAATGCATTTCATTTGCCTTGTTTTGTTCCGTAATGTTTGCAACACCCTAATGTGTCAAAACGTTTATGTAGGAAATGCTACGAAGGCTTGAAACATTCTGCTCAGGCAAAAAGATATGCAAACACGAAGCTATGATCGCGTGAATTCAACGAAACGTTAAACTGTGGCTTTAATTTCTTTCCTACGACATTTACCACAGAAGCTCTGTTCGAGGCGCACTTTGGCTTTGGAAGTAGGAGTATCGCATGATCCGTGTGATGCACTGGTTCATACTTCAAACAAACAACTTCTCGATAACAGGCCCTTGCCCGCTGGTCGCGACTGCAGGGGAAAAGCGTAGTTTCGTTGCAGTGTTGACAGCGTATGTTGGACTTGAAAATAATTAAAATTGTATCCTTATTATGTTTGGACGGTGCCTCAATGGCACTATCAAGTTCCGTTATTAAATTAACGAATCCTGCGGTTTCACCAGAATATATTTCGACACGCCCTAAAGGTGTGACACTTCCACTAAACCAATATCCGAGCTTCGTTCTAAAACTGCTGTTTAAGCCGGCGCCGTGACGCACCGACATGGCCGTTTACGTCTTCCTCAGCGCCGGCAGGCATTTACCATCCGTCCTGGGAGACACTGGCACCCTCCGCATCCCGTTAAAGGCAAAGGTCTCCTAGGAATCCAAAGACGTCTTGAAGTGATAACCAATCTGGCGATATCCCATTCAGTCCTCCGTTGGTGTCCATTGTGTCCGTGGATGCGGGCCCTTCTGAAGTAAATACACGTCTTTGGTAGGACAAGTATCGTAGGTGGTATCATCAATTTTCTTTTGATTTGTTGCGAGTAAAACCCGATGCATTCCACTCTTCTGCTTGTTCTGGAGCCAATCATTAAGATATTTGCTCAGCGCTGTTGTCCCGTAAACCTTATTGCGCGATCTATCGTTAAAGGGACAAAAGCAAACAAGGCTTGTCGATGTTAACTGAAAATTGTCCCACGAGGATGGTGCGTCCAACGTTGATTGCAAAAGCGAGGGGAGAAATCTGCTTTCAGTGTCATCCATTCCATGTACAAAAAAGCTATCATCATTGACAAGGCGAGTCGAAAGCCGCAAAACAGCACGCCAGGTCCGCAAGAAGGTGCATATATATAATATATATATATATATCTTATATAGATATGATAATATATATATATAATAATACATATATAATGAGAGAAGAGAGAGAGAGAGAAGGGGAGAGGGAGAGAGAGAGAGAGAGGGAGAGAGAGAGAGAGGAGAGAGAGAGAGAGAGAGAGGAGAGAGAGAAGAGAGAGAGAGAGAGAGAGAGAGAGGAGGAGAGAGAGAGAGAGAGAGAGAGAGAGAGAGAGAGAGAGAGAGAGAGAGAGAGAGAGAGAGAGAGAGAGAGGTGGGGGAGAGAGATAAATAGATTCTGCTTGGACAAATAGACACTGCTAAACTTGTCAGTCTCTCAAGACGCATGATGAACAATTTACTTCCTGCAATCGAAGAACCACTGAGAACAGCGTTAGGCCAGGCCCCATACTGACGGCAGATATGCGCCCCGGTGACACCCTTGGCATTAACTGTATGTCCACCGGTGCATTATGAACTGTAGACCACATAGGTGGTGTCTAACATGGCTGAACACATGGGAGCGGAGGACGTTGTCCAAGAAAGCGGTAAGAAGAGGAGACTCGGAGGCACTCTGAGTTTATTCTTTCCATGCATCCGTAAGCCTATACCTAAATTTTTACAAATGTTTAGGGGGTCGCGTCACCCTATGACGTGATATTTTACACACCTCTGACATGAAATTTTGAGTTTTAAGATCGTGTCATGAAAGGTAACACGAGTTGACATTATGTACCACACAAGCTGACGTCAGCCATCGGGTGAGTTGATATAAGGCGTAACGCGAGTTGACGCCATACTTAAGTTGACTTGTTCATTTCAACGTTTTTTTCTGCAGTGGGTGGAGTCTTTGGAAAATGCAAATTATGCTCCTTGCAATGTACGACGGGGGACGAACGCAGTATATCTTTTGAGAACTTCAAGCCGTTGTATGTTAAGTTTTAGTGCAATAGCAAAAAAGCATGGGTGCCGATTTGGCCCCCTATGACACAAGGGCCATCTATCAATGGTGCTAACCTGCAGCATCACGCTCACAGGACATACCGGCAATGTGTCCTGCGTGGCATAGGACGAGCGAAGTAACAGCATGTTGGAGCATTATCAGTACGCTAGTAACCGATCACTGAAACCCAGGCGAACGAATCTAGTCGCCTTTCGAACGCACGCAAGCGGGTTCCACTCATTTCGCAGCGTATCATAGAGGATAACTGGTCTTGGGGAATCGCCCATCCGAACTTACCACCATGACACTTCCATCTGCTCAGGGCAAGTCAGATTCTTAGACTGAACGTTTATTGATTACACCGAGTCTTCAGAAGAAACTCGAAGGCCGGAGATAGTGTGTACGCGTTAATGCCGCCAATTCACAGAAGGCGTTGCTTGAGAAAGGTGAGGCTGGCAGTAAACGTGGCCGAGTTTTGCTGTACCTTCAAGCAATTTACAAAGGAGTGGACTGGTATACACTATGCAGTCGCTTTTAAGTCACCCTGCTCCTGCTGCAGGTGTCTGACGTTATTCTAAAACAGCGCTTCATACCGGTTGATCTTTGGTTTGTGCCTCAGTGTGCGCCCATGCAGCAGGCAAACTGAGCCAGCAGGACTCATCCTTCTGTTAAAGGCCTTTTTGCGCTGACCTATACTCTATCCTGTGTTGACCTCTCGTGTTACCGTGAACCGCGGTTACCGATGACAAATTGCTCTGTATCAACTGTTCGATAACGCTGCAATGTTCCAGAAGGACAAACCCGGTGGCGTAAAGGAAAATCTACCATGAATGCGAAAATGAATGCAAATCTTTTGAATAATGTTGTATTTGTCGCTTAAATTACTAGCCGCCATATTATTCATGTTTGCGAATCATAAAAATTGTCAAAACATCAACCTTACTGCGCGGGGCAAAGCTCTGAAGAGCTCTAAACTTCACGCTCATTTGACATGAGGACAAGCTCGGCCTTCAGTGTCACGTTTATTATTGCCAGAGGGCCACTTGTCACAATCCGGGGTCGTCCTGTACCACCGGTGTGCTGGACTGGATGTTTTATACACAATGCATGGACAAATTGCATTGAGCACGATCGATGCTGCAGTGCTCATCACGGAGTGCTTCGTGTCTCTACTCGTGACCACAAAACTCCTGACAAACACCTGCCGGAAACGGCCAGGCCAGGAATGGCTCGCCATTACCGGCCGGTAATTTATTCCCCCAAATCAAGGCATTTGCGATCTTATCTCCCTCAGTGCCAATAAAGGTCTGCACCCACCCAGTCGACGGAGGGAGGGAGGCAGAGGGTCACAGAGGGCGCATGCCTGCGCCCCTTCGGTCCGTAACAAAGATCAGCAGCCCGATAGGGAGTCCAAAGGGCCTAAGGGCTGACCGGATTTTCAGATGCCCCGTGCCGCACGGCCGGGCCTCTAAATATCACTTAGAAGGCCTCTTGCACCGCTTGGGATCCTCTGAACCAATGCAGGTCTCTATGTCGGTCAGAGACCACGACCACCGAATAGCCGACTCCGTGTCCGTTTAGGCCCTGGGGGCCTATTTCCCAAGCAACGACAGGGCCAGGACCCGCGATTTACATTTGTTGGTGTCCGTGAGACAACGAGGGAACCCAATGTGTCGATTAGACAACCACAATGCTTAACGGGGGTCCTGTGCAGGCCAGTGGCCACCAACACCGAAAAGTAAGCTCCGTGTCGGACCACGCCATGTGGGACCATTTCCTTAGCAGGGACAAAGCCTGGGCCCGCGATTTACATGTGTCAAGGCTCGTGAAACAATGAGGCCCCAATGCGTTGGTCAGGGGCCCAAAGTGCCCGCATTGTCAGAAGCAGGGGGGCCCGTTTGCAAAAGGACCTGAATTAGCGTGGGATGCATTTGCTGAACGGGGACAATGACGGTACCCGGAATGTCAGAAGGCCTCTTGCGTTGGGCGGGGAGGTCTGACAATGAAATGAGGTGTGGGAACTTACGACGAAAGAGCCCACAGTGAAGCAATGGACGGGTCCTGTGCGGGGGCGGCGCCGCGGGTTTTGAGTTGGGGGCAGGATCTTCCAGGGGGTCTCCTGAGCAAAATGAAGCCTCTTCATAGGAGGACCCCTAGACAGTGTCATATTCCGGGGAAAGGGACACCAAGGGCATGTGTTATGTGCCCCTTATCAATTTGCTAAATATATTATATCCAAGTAATGTCCAGAATGAGGGCTTCTGATTCTCCAGTAAACGGCATCACCTCCTTAAACAATGACTCCTGCTCCAGAAAATAGCCTCCTGATGCATATAGAGCCTTCACATCCAAACAAGCGTGCTTCCAATTGACGGAGGGTCTCCAAATCTAGCCAAGGAGCCTGACCTCATTTTTCCAAAGCAGGACATCCCGATTTAGAACCGCGGCCATCTGATGGATGAAAGAAGTCCCCTTTTACAAAATCGGGGTCTCCTGAATATAGAGCGTGTCTCGTAACTCAGAACAGGACCTCCTAATTCATAACGGGGACCTCCCGAGTCCCAATGAGCCTCTTTACATTGCAATGGGTCTACAAAATCCAGAGCATTGGCTACCTTATTCATACAGATGGCCTCATCATCCAGAAAACCAATCCCTTGATGCATCGAAGGGCCTTTTGGGCCCAGATTATTTCTCCCTTTGGTTCAG